AATCAGCAGTGTTTTTCTGGGAGGGATTGGGGAGTTGGTGTTTTTTAAATAGCTACACATGTTTGGTGAAATGAAAAGAGAGTAGAGTAAGGGCTGAGCCTGGCTCTTTAAACTTTGGAGGGCTGTGGGTCTAGCATCTGCATTGCTCCCCAATGCCTCTGTGAGTCCCCTCCTCCCTTCCAGGGCTCCAGCAAAGTGGTCACTCTCTATCCATGGCAGCCTTCAGTGATCCAAAGAAAAACAGGGTTTCCTGCATCCTTTTCCAGGCTGGTCTGCCTCAGTCCTGCCTCCTGGGGCAGTATTTCCAGTCCACAATCTAAACCAGCTCCAAGTCACTGTCCTCCAAATGAGTCCATCTGCCACTGTCTTTTAAAATATGGGACACAGAGAAATCTGCTCAGTGTCCAGCCAAAATAGCAGTTCATGGGCTGCCCCTGTCATCATTGGAGAACCTGTCTTCCTCCTCTTGCCTGGACTGGACTCAAGCCAAGAGACCCTCTTAGATTCTCTATAGGAGGAAGTTACCTAACCTCCACCATTGCATAACAACAATAGCTATCATTTATTTATTATTCCAGTGTACCAGGCACAGGGCTGATTGCTTTACATGCATAATAATAAAGGTAGACTTATTCTCATTTTCCAGATAAGAAAACTAAGGTCTAAGAGTGGTTAAATAACCATGATAACTTCTTCTGGGAAGAAGTAAAGACAGTTTTTGAACCTGGGTTGTCCTCACCCTAAAGCTGTACTCTTAATCCCAGCTCTACACGGCCATGGAATCTCCATAAAACAACAGAATCTACCTGCTTATATGGACCCCTGTAGTAACACAAAGGACATGGGAGCTTTGGAGTCTCACATGGAGATCAGGACTCCCTCATAATCCTGTGAAGGTTGAAGCATCCTTCTTATTGGGGTATCATTTGTCTACACCGTGGCCAGCAGCCAGCATCATGTCTTCTGACTTGCTGGGCTGCTTGTGATGTGACCAGAGGCTATGGGCTACACCGAGCTTGGAAAACTTAATTTGCATGTAAGATGAAAAGAGGCTCATTAATGAAATACACCTAGAAATCTTCAGACTCTGCCCACCCAACTGTACATGGGGAAAACCAGAGCTGGAGAAGGGAAGAGGCAATTCCAATACACAAAGTGACTCAGAACAGCCATAGAGATAGTTTTCGTCTCATATACCAGTCTAATAGGTTGACTAGATTTGAGTATTGTATAGGAAAGAATTCTGAAGCCACATGGGGGGAGAAATGCTATAGTTAACTGGTAATGTCCCCTCCTGGTCTCAGGAAGAAGTAATGGAAACAAGCATACTAGGTAATACCAACCCTGTAATAGAGAAAGGTCTTATGACTCCAAGTTCAACGTCTAACAAGCACAAGCATTCTAGTCAATTACAAAACACTCAAGAAAATTCTATTCCAGAAACTTATGAGACAAAGTTATCTCAAATTGTCTCAGTGGTTGTTTTGGGAATGCCCCATTTGGTTTCAAGGAACTGAAAACTGACTCAAGTTAGCTTAAGAAATGAGAACTGGTTGTCAGGATATCGCAGGCAATCTCATGGGTACTCAAGGACAGGAAACAAAATATCTAGCCCACAGGAACCCAGAAATAGAACTATCGCTCAGTAACTGAGGCCATCCTGTTGACCTCTTAAAGCCACATGTGGCAGAAACTACTGGCTTCCTATACAGCAGTACTTTCTTCCTTGCTAATGGAACAGAGTTTGCTCAGAAACCAGGCAGTAATGGGTCTAGCCCAAGGAACATATCATGACAGGTCTAACCCAGTGTTGCCAGTCATACTCCTCTTGATTGCGATTAGCTTATTCCAGTTCTGGGCAACGTCCTAGAAGGAAAACTCTGTGGGGCGCTTAATAAAAGAAACAGACATGAAGAGCAACCGACGGTTCCCTTTCAGCCTAAAATGTGACCACGTGATTGGTCTATTGATCTGGTGTTAACCCCTGACCCAATCACCTATAAGCTATTATGGGATCACCTGCTGCAGCCACTTTGCCAAAATGGAGGAGACATCCCCCACATTGTGAGGGAAGCAAGATAAAAAGCTGGGAAGAAACTTGAGATCTTTGAGCCACCAACTGCAGGTGGGAATTTGTCCTAGTTTCTCGTGTCCTGTTACATGAGATAATAAATGGATCGATCATTTAAACCTTTTTCAGTTTGAGATTCTATTGATTGATACTAAACACCTTCATACTTAACTTCATCGTCTCCACACCTCAATGTCCTCATCATAAAAGGATTTTCTGAGGGTTAAAGGAAATGGTGAATAGAAAACACTTAGAACAGTGCTTTGCAATGGTGACTGTTAGAAGTCATCATTATTTGTGCTTCTGGGTCCAATTCCTCCCCTCCCTGCAAACTGCCATTTCCCCCATCAAAACGTGAAGTCTATTCCTCCTACCCCTTGAGTCTCAGCTGGCCTGTGACTGCGAAGACCAATGGAATAGGATGAACATAGTACCATGCCAGTTCCAAGACTAACCTTGGGAGAGATTGGCAAATTATGCTTCCCTTCTTTTTGAACACTTTCTTTCAGGACATTTCCTCCTAGAACCCAATGCCGTCCAGAAAGAAGCCCAAGGTCACATAAGAGGTCACCTGTAGGTACTCCAGCAGAGTTTCCAGCCAATAGCCAATGTCAGTTGCTAGCCAGCATCAACTGCTCGTCAATGCATGAGCCATCTTGGACATCCAGCCCAGCTGCATGCTCAAATGACCCCAGCCATACTCTCATTAGAACAGAAGAGACCCCAAATAAGAACCACCGAGCCAAGTCCAACCTACTTATAGAAATATGAGAGGTAATAATAAATTGCTGTTTTAATCTACTAAATTTGGGGCTCGTCTATTATCAATAGATAACAAAAACATTAATAACAGTAATATAATATTGATATCAATATTCTTACGTCTGCTTCTCTGTGGCCCCATAACTCTGACTTCATAAGTGAAGTATGTCCCAAGAGGAAGAGGACAACCTGGAGCATCCTAGCTCATGCAGAGACCCTAACTCTACATGACTGCTCCACTCTAGCACCCAATAAATACTATCATACTCACTTAGCCTGTGTCTCAGCTCCAAATGCCTAGCAGAAAGAATCTGATTGGTCAGGTTGGATTAGCTCATTGTGACTTTATCACAAATGATAAAGTCATTTGTGAACAAGAAAGAAGATCACATGCTCCCTCGTACCATTTGGGGTGGAAAGTGAGAGGACATTCCCTAAGAAAGGATTGTGGGTATCAGAAAAAAATAGTAGGAGTCTCTTGAAAGGCATCTCTCAGTTTTCTTCTATGTTGGCATCTTTCTCATGCAGCACATGATGTCAAGATGGCTGCAGCAGCTCTAACTACTACATCTTCTCAGGTTCAAATGAAAAGGAACAGACTCTTTTCTGGTCACTCCTCCAAAAATCCTGAAATTTACCCTAAACCAATGTTCAGTCAAGGGCAAGAGAAGCTTTGATTGGGCAGGACTAGACTATAGGCTTCACTTGTGACGTTTGGAGCTGTTTCCAGAAGTGTGAGTGAATGTCAGGGTGTGTGTGTATGTGTGCATGTGCGTTTGTGTGTGGAGAGGGTCCAAAGGGGAATAAATGCATATATTCACCACGCTCACTAAACATTATGGGGATTCCCAGAAACCTCCAGTGGGAGAGGGGACATTCTGAGCAGTAGACAATATATTCGGGTCCTGGAGACACAGCCCCTGGGCAAACAAGAACTGGTCATCCCAGTCTTAGGCAAACTTTATCGGTCTCGGAGTCTTCTTTTCTCCAGGCCTAACAGTTCTGGCTTCTACCATTCCTCATGGACCTGTGCCATGCAGGCACACTCTGGCCAGGTCAATGTCCACCCCTACTAGAGGCAGCTGAAGGCCTTGCTGCCTCAACAGTTCTTCAACTAAATTATAGCAACAATAATAACATCTCTAGACATCCATACCATCCCATCAGGCCGCTTGGGATGAGGTGGGAGCAAGTCCCTATTTTCCCAAGCCCTGCCTTAGCCTGGCTACTTCTCATCCTCAAGGTACTATTTTTGTTCACATTTTTACCTAGAACTGGATGTAACTGCACTCCAATGAGGCCACTTGGAATGTTTGTCTTCCTAAGATTGACAATTACAGTTGCATGAAACAAATAGGCATCCTTAGGCCCAAGATGGCTCTGTGGTTTTCTTGCTGGCAAAAGGCACCTGTTTTAAAGAAGGCAGGGAGAAATAAGCCTCAGAAACCCCAAACTATCTTGGCCTGAGAGTCATTCATCAAGGGCTGACATTGCTGGCCCAGGGCCATGGGAGTGAGTAGCTATTTCTGTTACATTATAATTTGAGTCCATATGCAAACCAGAGGACTGTGTCCATAAATAAGATATTATAGTTAAATCAATATTGATTATTAGGAGTTAGTGTTATATTTAAAGCCATAAAACTGAATAAATATTATGGTAAAAGTGTCCTAAGTCTCATGGGCAAAATCATTGTGCAAGGCAAAGACCCTAGCCTCCGATTGATGGACTTACGACTCTGTGTCCCACGTGCCCCTAGTAGGGGCAGGGAGGGGGGAAGGTAATTTGGGGACAATGTATATAGATGTTCATCCACCCATTTCTCAGCCACATTCTTGGTTTTGTTCAGGGTCTGTTTTACTCATAACTTAGTATAGACTCAACTGGTTTTCATGACTAGTGTTAAAATACTAGTTTATTCAGACAGTAAGACAATGTACTCACCAAATTAATTTTTCTAAGGTAATTTTTTTTACTTAAAAAATAACTGATGCCTCCATTTTAAGAAACTATAGAAAGGTAAGATAAGCAAAAAGAAGAAAATAAAATCCACACAGAATTCTACTACCCAGTTTTTCATTACTATAACAAATACCTGACAAGATCAATTTATAAAGTACAAAGGTGTATTCTGGCTCACAGTTTTGGAAGTTTCATTCCATGATTGGCCGCATTGCTTTTAGGCCTGTGTTTGTGAAGCAGCATCATGGTAGGAGCAAAACCCCTCAGCTCATGGCTGGGAAGAAAAAGAGAGGAAGAGGAAGGATTAGACTCCCATTATTCCTTTCAACAGCACCTCTCCAATGGCCTGAATACCACCCATTAGGCCCCATCTCTTACAGTTTCCACCATCTCCCAATAGCATCCAGCCAGAGATCCAGCCTTAACACATGGGCCTTCGGGAGACATCCCAGATCCAAACCACAGCAATCACTGTTAGCATTTTGGTATCTAGGGTTCCAGTCATCTCTTTCTGTGTATGTGGGTGTGCATGTGAATATGGTCATTTTTAATAAGGTTGAAAGAGCCAAACTCCTTCTATTATGCATACTAAAATGTATTTAATCAATCCCTTATTATATTTGGATTGTTTCCAATACTAGTTAAATTAATTTTCAGTTTGGTTGATTTATTTTTATACGTAGAACTAAAAGGTATTAGTCTTTACTATTTTCCAGTTGAAGAGGAAGCTGAAACTGAGACAGGAACAAGGCACCAGGTCTAGTAGAACAAAGGAAGTCTTAGCCGATGCCTTAGTGCAGGCCAGATGCAGAAACATGCAGGGACTGGATCCAATGGAAACTGGAGGTCGGGAAGGTCTCCTGCTTGGCCTCAGCCACCATCTCCTCACCTCACAAAGCCCACGGTCCTCTGAAGGCCCGACACTGCCCCCATCACAGAACTGCTCAGTCTGGAGGAGGTGTGGTGCCCTCCTCATTCACGAATACTGATTGGGAATAGTCACCATTGCACGGAGTCACAGCAGGCAGGACATGGGATGATTCCTGCCCGTGTCCACTGCCCACTACCCCTCCCTAATTACACACTAGCAAGGATCAGGTCCTTCATCCACAGAAGGAGGGAGATGGGAAAGATGTGACCTGCAGTTGTCCAGTCAGTTACTGTTTCCTGGGACACCAAATCCCAGACAAGTGCCACAAGAATCCCAGGACCATTTGGAGGTTGACTTGGACAGTGGCAGACACAGGTGTGGCACTGGCAGCTGTGTCCTTCTCTAACCTGCTCCTGCTGAGAACCAGTTTCTCAGCTTCCACCTTCCTGAATCTGAGGCTTCCAAGCCTTCCCCAGTCCCTGCCTTCCACAGCCTCCAGTTGATTACTGTGTCAGCCAGGGCTGTAGAGAGGCTGAGAAGTACTACCATCTGCTGTCTGCAAGTTGGAGACCCAGAAGAGCTGGTGGAGTTAATTCCAGTCTGAGTCCAGTGGCCTGAGAACCAGTTGCTCAGATGTAAGAATCAATCCAGGGGCAGGAGAAGACCAAACAGTGGAGCAGAGAGCCAGCTCAACCTTCCTCTGCCTTTTTGTTCTATTCGGGTCCTTAACAGATTGTCTGAGGTCCGCCCACCTACAGGGGGAGGACCATCTGCTTTACTCAGTCCACCAATTCAAATGCTAATCTCAGCCAGACTCTCCCTTCCAGACACTCTGGGGAATAACATTGAGCCAGATATCTGAGCATCCCATGGCCAGTCAACTTGACACATCACAATTAGTTATGCTGAGTCCATTCCCTGCTTGCAGAAAAGAATCCTAACCAGAGTTAGGATTCACTCAACTTTCAAGGCTCAGGTAAAATGTCACCTCCCTGAAGCCGTCCCTAGGTCCCCAAAAGGTAATCAATGGCATGTTTCGGCCTCACTTTCATAGCTCTTTGCTTGTAACTCTTATAGCACTTAACTTTATCCTCTCTGGTTTGCAAGTAATTTTTTTTCCTTTGGCAGCATTGGGATTTGAACTCAGGGCCTCATGCTTACTAGGCAGGCACTCTACCACTTCAGCCATGCTGCCAGCCCTTTTTATATTGGTTATTTTTGAGGTAGGGTATCACTTTATGCTCAGGCCAGCCTAGCCTACAATCCTTCAGTTTGTGCTTTCCCAAGTAGCTGGTATGATAGGTTACATCTCTGTGCCCAGCTATTCACTGAGGTTGGGTCTCATTCATTGAGATTGAGAACATTTTACCTAGGCTGACCTTGTATCAGGATCCTCCCGATCTCCATTTCCTGCATAACAAGGATTACAAGCATGAACCACTGCATCCAGCACGAGTAATTTTTAACCTAACACAAAGGCAGCACTGAGCTTTCTGCTGTAATGTTAAGAGCCTGATGGCTGAATGAATGAATGAATGAATGAGTGTACATGGACAATAGTTGTAACTTACTTTTTGTTCAACCACCAAACTGATGATTAGCCAGGGATGCTGGAGAATGTTTCATACATGGAGTGGAAATGAAAAGTTGCAAGGATGTCCACCCGTACAGATGTGAGCAAAGAATTCCTGTCCAGAACGTGTGAGCTTTACCCCATCAGCATTTCCTAGTGCTTTTTATTGACAGTTAGCATTGGCTGGTGCACCCGGTTATTGTTAGATCCCAGCTATTCCTGGGTCCCTCTTGATTCTATATCAGGCACCACATACTGGCCACCCGCAGGCCAAATGCATCTTGTAGTTTTGTTTGGCCCACACTGGTATTTTTGTTTTAACTGACTTTAGATGCCAACATACAAAATTCAGAAGATGCCCCATTAAATTCCAGATTTCTGACTTCTATTGAAAACTCAGGTCTGGCAACACTGTTTTCACTTCTGCATGCCAGCCATGGCTGGGCTCAGCAGTGCTTCTGCACACACACACACACACACACACACACACACACACACACACACACACTCCCTTCATTTGGAGCATGGAAGCCCATGAAGCCCACCTCACTGATTATCTGCCTGGCACCCAAGTACATTACTACTGCTAGTATCTGCTCAACTAAGGTTGATCATTAATAGTGAAACGATGACTGGGTAGGGCATGAAGGATAATGTGCTTATGTCGAGCTGAGGGTTTCCAGAGTATCCTAGTGAGGAAAAAGCATACTTTGAGGACCCTAGCCACCCTCCTTGCTCCACACCCACCATCCCCATGCAGGACTTGCCTGCTTCTGTGAAACTAAAACCAAGTTTCCTTTGTCCTTAAACCTCCAGATGGGCACATCCATCCTTCCTAACAGGCTCAAGAAGGAGATCCTGGCACCAAAGTCTCCAAAGTCCAAAAAGGAGCCAAGGGTCAAGGCCAGGTCTTCCTGAATGAACCACAGTCCAGTGAGATGGAATTAATTTGCCTGAGTTTACAATGAGGAAAGTGAAGCTCAGAGAGGTGAAATGTGTTACCCAGGGAAACACAGCTCAAAAGTGCCCATCTGGGGTCACGTTCAGAGTATCTGGTTTCAAGCACACTGTTCTTGTCACTCCCTGGAGACATCTTGGGCTCAGGCAGGTTGGGAAGGAGTCCAACCAGACGGTCCTCAACCTTGAACACCCTATAGAGCATCTCCTGCCTGGATCTCACAGGGCAATAGGGATGAGGGCTTTTGCTCTAAGGTCAAAGAATGGTTGGGGATGGGAAGGTGACCCAAATCCTCGCAGTGGCCTAGCTCATGATAGAGCCCACCCAGTGGCTCACCGCAGGCCAAGCTACCATCTGGCCAGAAGAGTTTGGCCTTCCGCCCCATTCTCTGCCAGGCGAGAGAGGGGAGGGTGGGAAGACTATGAGTTCTTGTCCATCTAGGAAGGAGGCACAGGGAAGGAGGAGGGGAAAGATATTAAGGGGACCGCCTTGCTTCCTCTTTTCCTCACCCCCACCCAGCACCATTCAACCCATCAGCAAGCCTGACAGCTCTGCCTCCTAAACAAGTCCTGCCCTACCACTCCCCCTCTTCTCCATTTCTACCACCCTCATCCCAGCCACTGTTGCCTGGTCTCCATGTCTTCACACCTCCACATGTCACTTCCTGCCAGCCATTCTCAACTCAGCAGCCACAGTGATCTTTCTAAACTATACATCAGAACACATCTGCTTAAAACCTCCCTAAGCCCTCTATCACCCTTAGAATAAAGTCTAAATGCCTTACCATGGCCTACAAGGTCCAGTACACTGCAGCCTTCACCTACCTCTTAAAACACATCATCTACCTGTCTTCCCCACAGACTCTATACACCAGCTACAACAAATAGACTTTTTCTGTCCCTTAAACACAACCAAGCTTATTTCCACCTGAGGATCTCCTTACTAGTGGTTCCCTCTTTTTATGACTGCTCCTTCTTGTCATGCAGGTGCCAGCTCAAATGTCACCTCCTCAGAGGGTCTTTCCCTACCCTCAGGAGTTTACCACTTTGCTCACATCATCCAATTTTATTTTCTTCACAGGACTAACACCATCCAAAATTATCTTAAGTATTTGCTCTTTTGTCTGTTGAAGGTCTCCCTTTACTAAGAATCTGAACCACAAAAGCTCTGAGACAGACTCTGCCTTGTTCAATACACTTTCCCCAGTAAGTGATTTGTAGTAATACTCAATAAATAGTTGTTAGCTTAATTAACTAATTAATTATTCAAATGAGAGATGATAGGGGCATATACTAAGTTATTTGCATCAAGAATGAAATGGACGTCCAACATTGTGGCTGCAATTCCAGCTACTTTAGGAGGCTGAGCTCGGAGGATTTTGGTTCTAAGTCCAGCCCAGGAAAAAAGTTAGCTAGACCCCATCTCAACAAATAGTGGGAGTGATGTGCTTGGCTGTCATTCCCAACTACTCGAAGGCATAAATAGGATTGCTGTCTCAGGCTAGCCTCAGGCAAAACCCCAAGACCCCATCTGAAAAAAGAACCTTGAGCTGACGGTGTAGCTCAAGTGGTAGCGTGATCGCCTAGCAAGTACAAGGCCCTGAGTTCAAACCCCAGTACCAACAGCAACAACAAAGAAATAGGATAAATATGAAAGATATCTAAGAACTAGAAAGAACAATTATAAAGAGAAGATGAACCAATAGAAAGGTTTTCTGAACAGCAGGGTGGTGGTGAAATAATTCATCAATATTGGTAATTTATGGGGAGAAGACTATAATGAGTATGATGTTGCAAAGCTGACTTTAAATTACCAGAAAGACTTCCAGGTGATATCCATCCAATCGTATATGTACCTTGGAGTTCAGGAAGG